TTATTGTAATAATATGACGTTTTTTATACTCATTTTTCGTGTTAAATATAATATATAACATACTTTTAATATTTTAATAAAAAAAATACCTACTCAATGTGAATTTTAAAAATTATTTTATTTAAGTGTTTGCCTTATATGAAATATTATTAAAATTATTTTGTGTAGTTATTTTTGCTTTTTATTTATATTAGTTAGACCAAACTTGTGTGTAATCTGAAAAAAACTGGGGGACACAATTCGTGTAACCCGAACAAAACTGAGGGACACAATTCGTGTAACCCGAACAAAACTGAGGGACACAATTCGTGTAACCCGGAAAAAACATAGGGACGCAATTCAGTATTTGGGACACAACTCGTTTACAGCCTTTTTTATCTTCTCGGTGGGTCGACGGCTTCAAACAATACGACGGCGACGGGTGTGTATGTTATGTTAAATACTTATAAGAGAAATTATCATAATTAGCTCTCCCAGGTTCCATCGGATTACTGTAGCACAGCGTCATCAAAATATATTTTTTATCTAGTACATATAGATATATTTTTTTACATAAATTATGTATAGCATAATTGTGTCCAGAGTTATAAATTATAATATTTATATATTCTTCATAAATCATAATTATTTTAAAGATTTTGTTGTCACCATGTAATTTTAAGAAATGAAGAACATTTTATAAATACGTCGAGAAAATATTGGTTCTTAAAGTTATAACAATAATTTATATTGAATTATAATTTTTATAAATTACTATAAGAATAACTTAAGTTGAATTGTAGAAATCGTGGAAATGCATATTGTTTGACGTTTTAGAGTTACAATAAAAATTGTTTTATTAATAATCTATTGGTATAGACGTGTAGAATAGATTGTAGGTATAAGTATATCTCCTCAGATTTCACTGTACTTTTGAAAGTATTTTGGTATTTGTAACAATTTTGGATGTACAATATAACTATTTACAATAATGGAACCTCGATATTACGAAGTCACCTGGGATCAAAAAAAAAAATTCAACATATCGAAACTTCGAGTAATCTAGGCCATTTAAAATTTGTGAATGAATATGTGAACGGGACTGAAAAACAATTTGATGAATAGAAATTTCGAAATACGGAGGTTTTACTGTATTGGACAAAAAAAACATGTACACACATCATTGTAAATTCAATACATTCATCGCTACGCTTAGAATTTAAAAAAGTAGAAAATAAAACTAAATAAATTATGAACTGTGTTTGAAATTTGAATTGCATATATATTATTAAGACACTAATCATAATTAATTGAATATATTTTACTTCGTACAATTAATATTACATTCGTTATTTAACTATAGTTCAACATTTTTATAATACAACATTTTAATCTGAAACCCTTTAAAATGGGTTTTAAACAAAAGTAATAATTATTAAATTTATTTGATTGAAATAACATTTGAATTTTTGACAGTACTGTGTTTTTTACACTTAGATAATTAATCATTACAACTAATATTTATTTATTTATTTTACAATGTTAGACACAAATAACATGTTATTTTAATTTTTCATGCGATATTTGTTACTTATATATAAGTCATGGACTCATAATGTCTAGTGTTATTATGTCAATACTTAAAACTAACTAATTTAAAAATAGAAAAGGTATAAAATTATAATATAAACATTACAATTATATTTTGCATAATAATATTGAAATAATGAAATTATCAATTTTCAACCAATAGTTTAAATTTAAAGATAATAACTATTGTATGATTTCGGTACAGGAAGCTCAAGTTTTTCTAAATCAGTCATGTGCTATTACAGTGGAAACATTTATGACTCAGCATCAGAATACATAGATATGAAAGCCGAATACCTGCCTTCTGAATGTGAAGTTATTATTTACAGTGAATTTATAATCACCGATTCGTCCTCGATAGAATATTGTAATGAAGGTAAATTAATTTTTATTAAAAATTTATCCACATGTGTATTATATTTAAATCTTCGTTTGTAATTTTATTACTATTAGGTATTTGGTACCTAATAATAATCTCGTGTCATTGCTTGATCTACTGAATTTTTGTATCATTATTCTAAGACCTTGACAAATTTTAAATCGTAGTTTAATGTCTGGATTTGGTATATGATACTTATAATATGTGATAGAGGTATTACTGATGAGTTATGGATAGTGCCGTCTATAAATATGGCAAGACAGCAGTTAAGGGGTCATCAGAAAGTTACAAAAAATGGTAACGGTATGAAGAATATAAGGGTTAGATAATGGAAGTGTCACACTAACGTAACTTATACGCTTGCGGTACGCCGAAGGCCATACTATGAATTCACAGTGGTCTTTATTGTCCGAGGACCTCGAGATTATTATGAGTAGATGAACTCCCTCACTGGAGCTTATATCTAAAACCATGGACATAGAAGGTCCAAATACCTATTATAGTATATAATTATGAACTTATCATGTAATATTAAAAAAAGAAAATGGTAATTGTAATTGGTAATGGTAAAAGTTTGGTTTTTCGTCAGTTATATAGATCAATAATGTATTTGAAGAATTTAAATAAATAAAATAAGTAATTTGCTTGATAATTAGTTCTTGTTGTTTGGAACTATAGAATTTATTATGCTAACAGATAATATAAATATGTTTTAGATCTACTCAAATCAGCGACAGATTTAAATAAACCTGTGGTCGTGATGCTTAGACGAAGTTATCGGTACACTGATTGGGGTACAATATTGAGTCCTGATGGCAATGCTAATGATACAAAAGTTTTATGTGATTTCGCAATAAAAAACCATGTAGCAGGATTCATTGTGACAGGGCTGACACCACGACCCGTATGTATACATCGTGTGCCCCTATTAAACAACTATTATACACATCGATGACTTTATAATATATAAAAAGGGTTCTGGTTTTATAGCACTTATTATCATCAAAATAAGAGCTGTAAAAGAGCTTAAATACATACAAATAAGAACTTAAAAAAATTAAAATAAATAAAAAAAAGTATGACAAAAACAATCAACACAATTTTTTTACATTATCGTTGAATTGTTATACATAGTCATAAAAAAAATTCATCTTCAAAACGTTTTTGAGTTTTTCAAATCATTCTAACTTCTATATTATACTCCTTGTAGATTTTCTAAAAAAATTCTAATAAACAACAAAAAAATTTGGTAAATTAGTAGATAAGTGAGAAAATACGAGATCCAATGTTTATTACTAGAAAATACGATACAAAAGATAAAAATTATTTATAGTCCTAGGTTTAATTTGAACAAAAACAAAAAATAACCAGAAATTAAATAAAATGTGTTGGTTTTTGTCAGTGACACGTGTTATCATAAATCATAATATTAAGCAAAGTGAGACGAAGCTCACCGTTGGCGACGTTGGTGAGTCACCGCCCGATAATAATTTAGGCTTGAATACAAATTATAAGTAATCAACTGTGGTTTATTTCTATTTCATTTATATATTAAAAATATAGGGGACGGAGTACCGTCCGCCCGACGACTTATCTTCGATTCGGTGGGCGAGGTCTTCGTTGAAAATTCAGGAATGGGGTTTAATACAATGCGTGGCGGGGCAGGTATACCACTGTGTCAGGCCCCCTTAAGCATTTGGCGTATGACAATAGGGTCCTACCGGGATGCGTGACCTAAGCGGGCTCGAAAGGACTTTGATTTGTAAGCCCTGAAAAGGGTTATTTTGTGGATTTCCCGTGGTCACTGTACGGGTATCAGCCGTACAGAAGGAAAATGGTTAGCGTAGTTGTCTTCAAGGTCCACTGCTTGGCCGCTTCACATCCGATATTTCTGATAAACCGCAGATGCTCGACTCACAGACGTTTGGCACAATCTGTAACACGTCGAGGGCGTTCGTCGGCCGTCTAGATTTAAAAATCGTAGCCGATAGTCGATTAATCCTTAGAGGTGTTTGTTGATTTAGTTTCCGTCAGTCGGTGAGATAGGCAACCCGCAATATGCTGTCAACGGCTGGCTTATTCGTCTGTGATACTGAACGGTTGATGGCACTGGATCGTGTCGTTCGGTCCAATGATGCTCGAATTCGTCGTCTAGAGCTGGAAACGCTTGGATCGCTCCTAATTGATTTCTTCATCTTCCGTCTTCAATTTATTCTTGTTTGTGTTTTTGGGAGCTTGAAGTGTTGGAGAAATATGTTCGATCTCGGCAAGCGGGCTGGTGGGTTAAAAAATTTAAAATGTTACAATTGGACGTGTTGTAATATGACATACACCTCCATAGCATTCTTTTAGATTTTATGTCAAACCATAAAAATAAGCAAATGTTTTAAGTCCCGAGCCTTGTTATAAATTAATTATTAATTTAATAACAAAAACAAAATGATCTAATAATATTAATTAGTTTTGATATCATTAAAAGTAAATGAAATAAAATAAGTTGTTATGGTGACTTATAAAATAAAATTACCTACGACAAAAATTGTCTGAAAACCTGCTAAAAATAATGATAAATAATAGTTATTATTTTAAATTTAAAAAAAAAACTGGAGGTCCCTCTGTTGACTGTTATATAGCAAGTTTAGAGTGTACCTTGCATTGAGTACGACAGTGTAAGATGTATTCAATTCAAATTCAATGATATAATATCATTGCATATGAAAAATTTCTTCGACTTCGGTCTCCAATTTCCTAATTGATTTCTTCAGATCCGGTCTTCAATTTCTTCTTGTTCGTGTTGTTGGGAGCTTGAAGTGTTGGAGGAATATGTTTGGTCTCGGCAAACGGGCTGGTATATATGCCCGTTTGTCGATACAGTCTATCTGCTGCTTGGTCGGTCGATCTCGTGTTAAACGCGCCATTTGCGTATGCTACTGTGGGGCGTATGAATTCAACGATATTGTTTTACACTGGCATTATGTCCTATTTTAGTCAAATCATTTGTTGACTTTTAGTAAAGCCGTTTTAGTGTGGGTTGTGCCGTCACAAAAGATATTATGCAAAAAATTAAAAATATTCAGGAAATAAGATTTTTATTAAAATTTCATTGAAAAAATTTAAAAAAGCATCTTAAAATATTACAATTGGACATGTTGTAATATGACATACACCTCCATAGCACTCTTTTAGATTTCATGTCAAACCATAAAAATAAGCAAATGCTATAATAATTAATTATTAATTTAATAACAAAAACAATGATCTAATAATATTAATTAGTTTTGATATCATTAAAAGTAAATAAAATAAAATATGTTGTTATGGTGACTTACAAAATAAAATTATCTACTACAAAAATTGTCTGAAAACCTGCTAAAAATAATGATAAATAATAGTTATTATTTTAAATTAAAAAAAAAAAACTGGAAGTCACTCTGTTGACTGTTATATAGCAAGTTTAGAGTGTACCTTGCATTGAGTATGACAGTGTAAGATGTATTCAATGATATAATATGAAAAAATTGAAAAATTCTACTTAACTTCTTTTTCTAGAATATTTTAAAATATCACACATATATTATGAAAGTTATATCTTCCCTTATAATATGAATATTTTTTGACAATTTGATAACACTATGGTTATTTGTTTTTGAATTAGAACAAAAAACCAATTTTGTAAAAACGATTTTACATGATTATTTTCTTGATTATTCACTTTTACCTTTCAAAAATACTAAATATATCAAATTTCCTACCTCCTGCCTCCTCTTTGGATTGGAGATCGGAAGATTTTAAAATTGACTACTATAATAAAACATGTACACAGACACACAAAACAAAAAACACATAGTTGTAAAATCAATATTATAATATTCATCGGACTTCTTGGAATCAACAATTCTTCAATTTCAGATGCATATAAATAGCCAGAAATCAGGCTTAGTATTTTGAAAATTTTACTTAGTACACATAATATGTTAAATGGTAATATTAATACAAGTGGAACAATTCATATATTTATGAGTTAATGACTTTGTTTTGTGTCTTTAGTACTATAAACCAGTAAACATCAAAGTCGGAGAATACATTATACCGTATTTAAAACAATTAAAATGCAGCCCTGACTTCATAATCGGTGTGGCTGTAGATGGTAATGCAACATATATAAAGAATTCATCCAGTACGTGTTATGTGATATATTTTGTACTCAACTACTAACCCTTCCAGACCCAAAGAAGACTGTAATATTATAATATATTACCATTATTAATAACTACGTAACCTGATTGAATTCGATTTATTTATGGTTATTATCTTATTTTCAAGAAGAATCTGTGTAGAAATCGTAAAATATATCAATTATTAACTCTTTAGGGATGTTATAAATATTCATTACAATTATTGGTATTATTGATCTATGAATTTTTTTAATTTGTTTACAACGTGAATATTACAAACTTCAAAGTAGGTATTTCAGTATTTGGGAGATTTTCTCTCTTTATTTTTACATCAATTAATGAATTTCACAATTATTAACACATTTTAAAATTGTATACATGTATTTTCAATAATTGCTCATAATACTTTCTCATCATATCTGTTGAAATTATTAAGATGTAACACACTAAGGTCTTTTTTTTATTTTAAATTACTTGTCGATAGTGCAAATACCATTATAATTTCAAAAATGTCCAAATGTTCATTATTTTAGATTATTATAGTTGTTCTGTATTTGAACAGTTTTCGAAGTAGTCATATTATCGTAGTTGTAAAGTCATTGCAATTGTAACTTAAAGTTGTTGTTAAATTAAGTGTTTAATTATTTTGATTTCTCAAGTATATGATAACTTATATTTCAACTTTGTTTTTTAGTATATAATTTTGCTGTAATGAATGATTTAGTAACCTTTTATGAAATACAAACGATTGAATTAAATGAATGCAATCCGAAAATATATAATGGCTTGACTCCAATTACAAAAGTCGAGCATGGAGCAAATTACATGTATGGAATGGTAACAATATTTAAAATATTTTTTTAGTATTGATATGTGCGTATTGTGATCTTGGTGATAATGTATAAAACGTATTTGTTGTTGTTTGGAAGAATAGAGTTAGACTCGTGTTAGGAAAATAGCGAAACATAATTTGACAATGTCGTTATTTTCTAAGCGAACTGTGGCCATACATAAATTACACTTAAATTCAAAGGAAACTTAAGTCCTTAAAGATACACTTATTAAGACAATACAATTCAAAGGAAAAATTACATTTAATGTAATTACAACATTTCATTCAAATTACAATCTGTATTACCTATAACGCATTTTACACATACTATGGTTCACTTTACAGGAAGAAAACATTTTCAAGATCTATTCAATTGTAATAATTATTATTAATTCTGAATAATTATATTTAGCTGCGATTTAATCCTATGTACTTAACACGATATTATTTCCCAATTCCTTTAAAATTAATATTAGCCCAGGGGTGGCCAGTGATAGAGGAGTCGCGAGTCACATAGTATATTGAAAAATTACACTAAGAGCAAGACAATACTTAATACCTAATAATTATTATTATAATATTAGTAAAACAAATAAGACGTGAGTCGCATACATTTATGACATGGTTGCGGATTGGCTACCCTTGCAAAAATTCTTAATATATTACTCAATTGATTTTCTATTATACTCGCTGCAGTAGGCTAATACATTTTACCCAAATATCCTTTTATATTGTCAAACATATTCCGCTTCGTCCATTTTGATATTTTAATCAAATGCTTTCTCATTTATACAATTATTGTAATTAACATTGATAAAAACGTTATAAATATCTTGTGAGGACATAATAAATAATAATCAATGAGTGATTTGGTATTAACTAAGAAAATAAAATAGAACCTAATAATGTCACTAAAAATTTGTTATAACAAATTTTTAATCGATAATTATAGGAAGAAGTCGTATCATTTTTAAAGGAATCGAAAATAAGTCTTACAAAAATGACCTTTGATATAGAAATCAAGCCCATAAGTAAAAATGGTCTATACTTTACTTCGTACGCCACGGTATCGTCGATTAGATTATTTTTTATAAAATACATTTGATTATTTCATTACTTTAAATATTTTAGGTGTGTCATGGAGATTTTAATTCTTCATTTTCGTGTGTGCAAACCACAAAAAATTTGTTTGACAAGGTAAGATAATTTTGGATGACAATTATTAGCTTAAAAAATTATTCAAAACATTTGCAATTTTATTTATATATATATATTATACAATACGTATAATACGACAAATTATCGTTTCATTATACAGTGGACGCCGCTTATAATACTCACATTGGGACCAGCACAAAGTGAGTCTTATAACCGAATGAATCTTATAGGCGAAGTGGGAAAAAAAATTGATTACATATTTATGAATTTTATTTTACTTCATATTTTTTTTAAATTTTAATTCTCTAATATATATTACATATGACATACGTAATATTGAATAAATCAAAGAAATTCTGATAAAAAAATTAAAATTACAATACACGTAAAATATGATTATATGAATTAATAAAAAATTATAAGAGATGTATGAATAATGTACCTATTTATTATTTATGAAAAAAAATTGTGATTTTGTTTTTTTTTTTAGTTATAAGCTAATATTCCGGAAATATATTGGAAAATGTGAAAGACGATACAATTTGTTGTACATACACTCATAATTAAGCAAAAAACATAAATTAATTTCTAAATTTTGACCAAAAATGTTTATTTTTTACAAAAAAGTCTTATAAACGAATTGTTGAGTCTTGTTACCGAATTTTTTATAACGTATTTGGATAAGTCCGGACCGTTTCAGACCATTTTGAGTCTAATAAGCGACTGAACCTTATATTCGTGAGTCTTATAAGCGGCGTCCACTGTATTAGATTTAATATGATTACTGTATTTAATATGTTTATAATATATATGCATTGACTCCTGTATATTTTAAATAAATTTAATTTTTAATTTTTTTAATTAGAAAATTAAGACCAATAAATATTTTGTAAATAGTCTTACGACTTTAAGTCTTTTATATACCTATTATGAATATACATATTTTATAGATATAGGGACATATAATAGCTATATTAAGTAGTGTCAAATTTCTGATTTAGATAATACGAAAATAGTTCAAATAAAATGTATGTTGTCTAAAAAGTTATACATTAACCAGATTTTGATTGTAAAAATGATTAGCAACAAAATATGTAATACCTACATAGATATAAATAATAAACCTTGATTATGTTTATATGTATTATGATAGAAAGTAGGTAGTAAAATGAAAGTCGTATTATATAGTTATATGTAGTTAGAATATGATTCTGTTATGCAAATTATATAAGATATTTTAGATGCAAAGAATTTATCTGATTTAAATTGTTATTATTTTTTATTTTTAAATATCCGTAATCATATTTTTTATGCTTTTACAGGGAAAGTTTGCACTTAAACAAAACAGTGGAATAATTATCAAGGTTATGGATTATGACGACATTAAAAATGACTGTGATTGTAGTTCAAAGTTTGCCGGATTGAAAAACATAATTGCAGGCTTTCGTGGTGAATCACAAAATATACCGTGTGCGAAGTTTGATGTTCAATCAACTAAATATGAATTTAAATAATCAGCTATTTCATTAACTGTTAAATAAATATACATTCAACACCCAATTTCAAATGGTTTTTACGATTGTCCGGGCATATACAAATTAAAAACATTTTTTTTTATCATAGATAAAAGGGTATGAGGTAAATTTTTTTGGGCATTAAAAATTCCAGTTGTAATCTTGTTCTAATAAACAGCAGTAATACGTAAATAGTTCTAGTTAATATATTGCATCGCATCATAATTTAAAATAAATTAACATCTTATTTTTTGATAAATTTTGTGGCACACGTACCTATGCTAAACACAACTTGTTCAATTTATCTATTATGTATTTATGTGTACCTGTGTACTGTTATAAAAAATAAAATATTTATTTATTATATTGATAATTATTAACTAAAAATCAATTTTCAAATCGAAAAGGATTGATTTTTTATAAACACCCTATTAAATTGTATTGTACCTAGTCCAAATGAATAATAGGTTGGGGTGGTTTTTGGTCAAGTCATGCATATTTATACAAATAATATTCACAACCATTTAAGTAATAATAAAATAAGCCAATAAAAAAAGATTTTGTATTTTAATTAAAATTATAAATATATGCACACAAAATTTGAATCATTGAGGCAACTACTACTAGATCTTTTTCATTCTCTAACCTCACAACAAGTAACTACTACGACGAAGTAGTGGGTTGAACAGGCAGATCGGTTGTCATCTTAATCTGACATCGGTAACGAGGGAAATAGAAAATTCCTAATTAGTCTATCAGGTAAACTGGCTGATTATAATAAAAAACAACTGCAGTGTTAGGATTTATTTAGATGACAATTTCATCATCTATTATCTTATTTGGATAAAAATCGAATGGTCATCTTTTTTTTTTTATCTTAGATGAAAACTTCAGTTATCTATGTGGTGATTATTACAAAGAATTTCGCTTATACTAATTCAAGGATTAATGGATTTGTGTGGGCTATGGGATGGTCATGAAAACGCTTATTGAAGTATTTTGCTTCTTCTTGGACGGTTTTTTGACGGGGACGCGGGGGGGGGGGAGTTAGTAATTTTTTTAAAAGTAATATTTTAAACCGTTCGGATTCTTTTAAGATTTGAGATTTTGGCGTTTCCCATAGTTGTAGACCATAGGTAGGTTCCATTATATAGGTTTGATTAGGGATTTGTATATTAGTAGTTAAGTATTTAAGTTTGTGTGTTAATCACAAATGATGAGTGTTTTAAGTATGCGTAGCCGGGATACAGCTGCAGCCGTTTAGTTTTAATATGGTGTACTCAAGTGAGACGGCGCTCGAGTGTTAGTCCTATATATTTACCTTCCATCCTTAGACTACAAAGTTAAATAACTCAAAAAAAAACTTGCACGAATTTTGATTTTGATGCGTTAAATATTTCAGAAAAATTATCAACTGTATAATTTATAGTTGAATAGTGTTGTTCTCGTTTGACGAATAGAAGTTTGTATCTCCACAGGACACTCCTTAAGTAGTAAGAAAAATCTCAAGAACTTGAAAATATGTTCTTAGAGTTTATTTAAAAATTAAAAAATCAGATTTTTAATTACCGCATTATTGAAGAAAAAAAGGAATGAGCATGCTTGGCGAATCACTCTGTGTATATAATATATAATATATTGTAAATTATAGTGTATATTAAACACCATCAGTCATGTCAATGTTATTAATAGTTAATACTACTATTATATTTAATTTATATATTATACAGTTCATTGATAGGATACAAAATAATATAAATATTTGTATAAATCTAAATAGGTACTTCAGATTTTATATTTTAGAATCAGATTATCAAACATAACACACTCGTCAATGTGGCCAGTAACTATCATTCTTGCTTGTTCTTGTTACCTTCCAATTTTTGTTATAGTGTATAATAATTATTGAATAATGTATTTTAAGATATTTTGTTTTAATAATTTGAACTAATCTACTTAAGTATTCTTAGTGTGTTGATACAAATTAAAAATAAATTTAAAATTCATTATGTTGTTTGAAAATAATTAGGTATATTTAATATTGTTTTATTTTACTGAAGTGTATTATCTAAGTACATATTTATTGAATTTGAGTTAAAGCATTATTTTAAAAATATTGTACAATTAATCATTTAATTAATATGTCATATGTGTTCCACGGACCACAGTTTTGATTTTTTAAAGGCAAAGATTAATTGTGTAGAAAAATATTGATGAATCGTTATACCCATCGTTCCAGTGGCGTATTTAGGGTGGCCGAAGGACCCGGCAACCCCTCTTAATCTGTGCATTATACGGGAAAGACTACGTATATATGATATTTAATTTAGGGGCCAACCTTTTGAGATTTCTGAGTATGCCACTGCTTAGTTTACGCCAAGCATAAAAAAATACAAAAATGTTTGTCTATATCACCAAGTGTCTCTTAAAGGTCGTTGTATCGTCTTATCATTATATTGCCCGTTATCACTATATATTGTTATTCATTATAAATTACCTACTGTTATTTTCTTTTTCTTTTTTCATATACTATGCAAATTAATTTTATATGTATATTTTATTATTTCAGATTGGCATTTATACCTGTCATTATTATATAAGTAAAAATATTATTATTTAACTTGTATAATATATGTATGACGTGAACTTATTTTTTTATCGTTAGAAATTAATTGTTACTGAGTTGAACATTGAAATGATCATATTTAATTATAACTTTCCTCTTTCAGTTTCTTTTTCCTACTTAATCATACATGTATCTATACACTTAATTCATAAGGAGAAAATGAGGGTCTCCAAAAAAATAAGTACCTACAAGTGCATGACAATTCTGAATACCGGGCTGATACGATCATATTGTAAGTATAAACAAAACACAAAGCGTGAAGTTAAATATCAATCGTATTTTTTTTTAAAGTTAATATGGTTTTTTTTAGGGAAAAACTGGAAATTATTGTAAATTAACTTTGACACAACAAACACATTGTGTAGTAAATGTCAAGTGGCTTGACATTGATGACATTAACAATGAATACAGATGTAGCGCATTAACTGGAGTAGAAATTATATAGTAGCAGTTTTCTGTGCCAGTCCACAAAAACCATGAGTGTTAAATTTGAGGTTCGAACAATTACATATTTTACAATTCATGGATAACCAATTATTACAATAATATAAAGTTTGAATAAAAGAGCTTTAACATAAAGTATAAAAGTAACTCGTGAATTTTTTTCACAATGTGGTCCTTCACTTTGTGTACTGTAGTAAAACATTGAATGGTAATGTCAAATTTGATTAGATTCATTATTAGTGATTTAAAGTATTTATTAAGTACTTATTTAACTTCTACAACGTATTCTACCAGTCATATTTTAACTTAAATTATTGTGCATATTAATATTGTATATTTATATCGTGTTAACTTATTAACAATATTATAATCATTTTTTATTTATTAGAGCAGAAAATTAATTGTGACAACGACTGTTACATTTTAAATCACTTTTAAAACAAACACATCTTTTGGTGCAAGCACTTTTACATGACCAACTTAGGAATCCCTGATCTTCAGATACAACTTGGACAGTTACACGCAATGTTAATTATTTTTGTATCCTTTAAAAAGACCATGTGTAGTTCCTACTTTGTACGTCTCATTTTTTTCTTTAATAATGAGTAATGACAGCAATTACTTGATCAAGGCTCGAGGCTCTCTATCGACTTTTGGAAAAGAAATTGTGATGCATTCATATTATAATTTATATTCCCGTATGTACACAAAATGAAAGACCCAATTGTGAAAAAAATTACGTGATGTTAAATTGGAGTGACCATTTCATGAAAAAGTGACCATTTCGTAAAATATTTTTGAATTTCAATAAGTTTACAAAACCTGTTCCCATTTCATGAAAAAACGGCTATACATATATTACGAAATCTCATAATATATCATTTATATATCTTATAATACACTCATTCAAATTTTAATATTTTATTTGATGAACTACTTCTTGCAAATAATTAATTACATAATTTAAATTAATTTTATTTAACAAGTCCTTTTTACATTTATCAGCACATCAGTGAAAAACTTTCCAAAATGCCTTAGTCTAATGTATTTCTCAAGAAGTAGCTTATATATTTTAATTTAGAAAACTTCTTTTACAAGTTTACACCCTACTTTCGTTAAGGATAATGTCAGCATTAGTTTATAAGCAAGGAAAATACTAGGATATGCATTTGTGTATAACTTTTACTTCATCAGCACATCAAATCAACAATCTTCGACTACATAATCAACCAACATTATATTTTAACTATGACTACACATGACTACTGGTACTACAAGTTGCTACTGCTTCATTGTCACTTGAAAATTGTAAGGAAATAATATTTTTAGTTACATAAAATTGTAAGGAAATAATATTTTTGGTTACATAAAATTATACTATAAATATTAAATATATTATAAAATTAGGGGGTTGGAGTAGGTACAAATAATTACGTTAAACACACCAAAAGCTAGACAAAACTGTCTGACTTGTGTATGACAGATTTTAATTTTGAAAACTAATAAAAAATATTCAACAAATCTACTAAAGCATAGCCGTGGAAATGGTTCATTATTACAAAAAATAATGGTGTTAAATAAATATATAAAATAACGAAATTCTTATTTTTTAAACTGTCGACATTTTACTTGCCCACTTGGGCATTCTCTAACTAACACAATTAATAATTAATGAAAATTTTCAAAATTAAAATCCGTCGATTCCAAGTCCTTCAATGTTGTTGGGCATTTTGTCATTTGAATGGCATGGAGTATATTTGATAAAATCAGTATCATTGACATGTGCGTGCTGAAATTTATATGCGAGCTGTGAGCCGTCGGTGCCCGGTATTCGATAACGAATTTAACGAATTACACACAATATCATTCATTTACTTCTCACACAATCTCACACAGCTCAAATATAATTGCTATATGAAATGCCTAAATATTACTCCTCACGAAGCTTCTTATTACTACTGGATTCTAAGGAAAAATGTATAGGCAACTTCTTATACATTCAGCAATTAGCCTTGTCGTTGTTTAGTCTTAAATGATTTTAGTAGTAGTAGCATGGAGGGATCTCGCACGCACTCACACGCACATGTCAGATAAAAATGTTGTGATTCAAAAAATATTTTTTTATTTTTTTTATTTTATTTGGATTAAGGCTTCAATTACTACGGTTTTAATAAGCCTCTAACCGTGTGACG